CGAAGATGGGGACGGGGTCGAAGGCATGCATGCAGGGGTCGGCAGGACGACGGATCGAACGTTGAGGGGGGAAGCGGCCTGGCGGCAGGATGGTCGATCTAAGACAGGGCTCTGAGGCCCCCCGGACAAGCGGAGTGAATGCAGACCCGGGAACTGAGCAGCGGGTAAAGGGACTGGCAGTAGCATGGCACTAGCAAGACGCCTGTGGAATACATAGCGAATGTTGTATTCCCGCACTGCCGCGTTTCGGTTACGGCGCAGGCCTTCCCTGAGGCCATTATTGCCGCCACCGGTGTTCGAGACCCGGCCCTGCTGAACCTCTCCGCCGACTACGTCCGCGTACGGGGCCTCGCACAACCTGCCGTACTGGTGACCATGGTGGCGCAGAGCGGTCTTCTGGCCCAGCAGGATTCCCTCACGCCCGCCCTGACGGTGGCGGTGGCGGTGACGTTGTCGCTGCTGGGGAGTGTGGTGTTCGTCGCAGGGCTGGGCTGGGGGCTGGTCGGCGCCGCTGGTACGACCGTGGCGTGTCAGTACGTGGGCGCGGCGGCTCTGCTGTACGGGTTATCTGTACGCGGCAAGGTGTGGCGGTTCGGTTCGTACATCCATCCGCACCATCCTCCATTCACGGCTAACAACTTCATCTTGCACGTTGTACGAGCGCTGGCCATTGTCTTGCCCCGGGGACCTGGCGCCCCTACCTGCCCCACCCCATCCGTTTCCCCCGGCCCGCCAACACCAGCGCAACCACTGCCAATACGAACTTTCTCGACATGTTCTTCTTCTCCTGCTCACCCACCGCCATCTTTCCCCTCAAACGATATCCATGCGGGTACCTCTACACCGACAGAAATGCCCTCCGGCCCCCGACACGTTATGTGTTTTCCCACCGGCCCCTCTCTCACGCATCGCGCCCCTGCCTGCCTGTGTGCCCGGTACGCAGCTGCGGCTGCGTTTCAACCCTCCGCGTCGTGACGTGCTGTGGCAGCTGCTAAGCACGATGGGCCCGCTGTCCATTACGTACATCTGCAAAAATGTGTCGTACTTGTTCATCCAGACCACCGCCGCCACTTTGGAGACCACCAAGCTGGCGGCACATCAGGCACTGTTCGCCGTTTGGAATGTGAGGGGGGGGAGTTCTCGGGCACGGAGGCAATTCTTAGGGTGTGCCAGGGGTGCAGGGTTCCCACGAGAAGCTACCCGGAATTGGCTGCGGGGCCGGGTCGGCTTTGCGGCTTTGGGGAGGGAGGAGGGGGAAAGGGGAAAAGTAGGCAAGAGTGGTTGACTGTGCTTCGTGTACGGCCAAAAAAGGGCGTTCGGGTAATCCGCCTCGCTTCTCCTTGTCACTAACTTCCTGCAAGCACGTGTCAACGGATTCGCATTTTCACGTACGCGTTTTCCCGCGCTCGTAACCCGCCTCCCGCGCCCTCTGGCCTTGCAGCTACTCGCCTGGACGGTATCGCCTTTCGAGCAAGCAGCCCTGACTTACCTGCCAGGCAGCCGCGGCTGGCGCAAGACTGCCGCCATCTCACTGCTCGTGGGAATGGGCGCCGTGGGTGGTGTACTTGCTGGCGGCGCGCTGGCAGCACTGGCATGCGCGGCGCCGGCGGTGCTGACACGTGACGCAGCCGTGTGGCCGCACCTGCAGGCGGTGGCGCCGCTCGCGTCGGCGTCCATGTTGGCATTGGGCGCCGACGTCGTCGCCAGCGGCGTCAACATTGCCATGGGCGACGCGCGGTACGTGGCTCAGTCGTACATCATCACTCTGACGGCGCTGGCGGCATTCATGGGCGCCAGTCGGACGCTGGGCTGGGAGCTACGTGGCGTGTGGTGCGGCGTGGTGGTGTTTTTTGGTGTACGCGCTCTGCAGAGCACCGGCCGCGTGTTTTGGCAACACCTGCGAACAGGCCAGTCCGACAACAAGACGAACGAAGATCAGGCGCTGGTGCCGACAGCGCCGCCGCCGCCGCCGCTGCAGCAAGAGTCGCGGCAGGATGGGGCAGGGGAAATCAACTCGAGGGTGGTTCTCGCGTCGTCACCTTCATCGTCGTCGTCGTCCTCGATCATGGGCAAAGAAACGGAGGCGGGACCGTTGGTTGCGTCCGCGCAGGAGGAGGCGGTGAATTGTGATATGCTTGGAGGGCAAGGGGACGTTGTAAGCAACCCTTCGGCAGGTGATGGGAGCCGGGGACGGCTGCACTTGACATAGGACCATGGGGCAGGAGCGCTAGGAGCTATAGAAGGTGTGTGGCGACGGATAATGCCCGAGCCATGCAGCCCCCACTTTCAACATAAGTTTTACAGCAGCGCGCAGCAAGTGACGATGTTGTTATCAGGTGTAAGATCGCTTGTCGTGCAGCGGTATTACTAGTGTAACTGTGAGGGAGGAAAAGGCGGCACCCTGGCGGGCGTGTCTGGTGTAGGCGGGATAAGGATGTATTTATGCTTAGCTTCGTTATACAGGTGTTACCGAATCGGCCACGTGCAAACTAACGTTGAGCTGCGCTGCTTTATAATGCCTTGTGGAACGTGACGACCTGCGTGCGCCCGCTTTTGCATGTGTCTTTTATTTAAACATTGTGCGGGTTCCCTAGGAATGGAAAGCCCCGGGATGCCGCGGGCGGACGCGAGGTAGCTGCGTGAAAAATATGACTGGTTTTGGCTTTTCACTGGCTGTCGCTTCGGAGAGTGATCTCGATTATTTCTGCTGTACCATTACGGTCACCCTGCTTATACAGGATTACGAGTATTATAGACGGTGCACGTTGCACAAGAGGGGGTGTGGACTCCGCATCGGATGCGTATTTCAGGTCCCCAAAGTCTTGTCGGCTGGACTAAAATTTTTATCAAGTTGCTGTCCCTGGTTGGTAATGGAGCTTTCCCGGTTTGCTTTTTGGACGCTTCTTGGATACCCGTCGGTTGAGCACACCCACAATCTGCACGATATACGACATTTCTGTAGGCCGTTTGGTACGGAGTGATGGAGGTGGTATACCCTCCAATTAGCCGTCTGGGCTTGCTGTGTGAGTCCCAACAAGGAAAGTGCAGGAGAGCCCCTCGATGATTCTGATTAACGTTTGCAGGATGTACACGTGCACTTTCGGCACGTGATCTGGATGCAGTTGGAAGAGAAAGCATCGCACAGCCCTTCCTATCCTCCTAATATACCCTGGCCAACTAAATCTCTTCCAACCGCGATTGAACATGCCACACAGCTATGCTACATGAATCTCATCTCCCTAAAGGGCCCCAGAGTCCGTCTGCAACCTCCCGGTCACGACACCGGCCAAAGTAGATGCGCCAAGACCATGATAGAAATCAATTAGGAAGGTAAATATATGGGACCTATCAATGTTGCAATAGTATCAGCGCACTTAATCAGATGCCAGGTCAGGACTAATGCCGGGTCAGAAACTAGGTGGGTTTCTCTCCATCGCGGACAGGTGAACCTATCACTAAGCTAGGCGGGCCGTGGTTGAAGTGCGTTGATCTCTCCTAGTGCCTGAATACAGTGGCAGCTCCGCCCTGCCCGGTAATGCGGTGCTCCTATAACCGTTGAGAGTGTATCGCATTAATGCCCAAAGAAAGTTGCTCACCATGCTTGCCTTTTCACGCGCTACCTGAGACTAGCGGTCACTACAGGCCCATACTATGCACACTATTCACATGTGCTGCCAGGCGCTTGCACGGCGTCAGATCAGACGGCAGCGCTTTCGCTTCGCAGCCTTGCTCTCCTCCTTCCCAAGACCCCTGGTGGCGCACCTGGGTCCTAAAGAATACATCGCTCCAACCCACGGGGTGACATCGCAATACCTTAATGTGGTTGCGATGTATTTAAGACTCCGGCACCCATACACTACCAAGTAGTAGGGCCCATGGCCGCATCTTAGGGGGTCGGGCTCTCCTGGAAGGGTGGAGCTATTCTGGTGATGGGCCCATGCCAAGCCGCCATCGAATCAGAGCTCGAATTTGGACTTGTCGGTCATCGGTGCACATACACGATACTGGGGGAACTCATAACCGGGGACACACTCGTGGTTGGGCCCGCAGTGATCGTCCGTAACGCAAAAGCAGTCCATGCGCGCGGCGCAGCCTGCAGAGGAAGGCGGTCACCGGGCATCAACCGTCGGTATAGATATGTGATCGGTACAGCGGTTGACGTGGCGGATTAATAACTTTGGAGGCTCACTCCACTCAGCGCTGACTTTCTCTGGCTGCTTCGCCTCTGCTCTGGGCTTGCTTTCCCTGCAAATTCACCCAGCCCAAACCCATGCCATCCACTAAACAAAGCTCCCTGCCGCGCTGTTCACAGAGTTTGCCCGGGCCCCAATCACCCGCTCATCCTTCCCTCTACTCACCGGGGTAGTGCACAGCACCGCGCCGGTCAATGACATCCCGAAATAGTGGCGGCAAGAAGAAATCCGCCGGGTCGTACGACGCGCGCAGCTCCAGAAACTGCTCGAACGACTCGCTGTATAGGTCGCGCAGCGAGCATGGCGCACCGCGCAGCAGCCTGTTAGAGGCGAACGCCCACGCTGGTCTGCCGCCGTACTTGCACATCGTCATCTGCAGCAGTTCCTCGTGGATCCGGGTAAACTTGACATGCAGCCCTTCACGCTCGCCCCGGTGCGAACTGAGTGTAGACATCTCAATGGCCACCACCTGCCGCCCGCTGCTCAGCGCTAGTGGCGCGTCACTTTCCCCAACAAAGCGAAAGTTTATCACGAAAGGAGGGCAACCCAGCGCGTGGCGCAGCACCGCGCGCGCATCCGCCAGCCACGACGAGAAGTCTTGGGAGTTAATGGCCAGTTCGTGGGGCGTCAACTTGGCCGAGGTTACCAGGCACAGGTCCGGGATAGGCGCCACAGACGCGGCCCCTCTGCACGAGGACGACGCCAGCTGGTTGAGCCACCCAATGGCGGTGTCAGGCGGCGTGCTCTCCTCGGGCTCGCCGCCCTCGGTATGAAGGAAGTAGGGCAGGTGGGACAACTCGCCAATCACCTCGCACATATGCCCCTCGCGGTCCAGAAGGTCCAGCTGGTCGCGATACACGCGGTCGGGTAGCTGCCGGACGTGGATGCAATGTGGGATGGAGCGAGTAGAGAGGCCGGCAAAGGAGAAAGAGTGTGGGGTTAATTAACGGCAAACCACAACAAAGATGTACCCATACCTAACCATGACTGGTGGTTACGATGGGCTAAATACCCGCTCCGGCCGATCCCTGCTGACTGGAGCTCCTGCTGTGCAACCTTGTTTTCATAGCACCCTTCAACTACGCAACCGTATTTACCGTGGTGCTTTGATATCTCCGGCTCCACATACACGAGAACCGCGCCAGGAACGAGGGATCAGACCGATTGTCCCTATC